TGTTTTCTCCGTTCGTCTTTGTGCGTCATCCAAGGTCTTGTTAAAAGGATGCATTTCTCCGCATCCCGCAAAAAAAACCAAAAACCAAAAATAAAATGAAACAGCAAGCAGTTCTGTCGTACGCTTGCACACACAAAAAAAAAACAACAAAAAGCTAACCCACACTTGCCGCTACTGTCCTTGAGATGTTTTATTCACTTCAGAAGATAAAAAAGATTCAGCTTCTTCCCACTTGTTCTAAAAAGTTTCACTTCGCCCTTTGTTGTAGTTAGTTTTTCTCTCCGGTGTTTGTAGTTTCGCAGCACGAACTCCCTTTTATCGTCTGTTTTAATGTTTAATGGAGATGAGGAATTTGTAAAATACACTAGCAATATTGTCAGTATGTGTTTGCATATGTTTTTTTGGGGGGTTAAGCCAAACCTGTACAAAACTGTACAAACCTTGATGCTCAAGGTTTGTACAGTTTTGAAGCACATGTACTTTACTTTACTACTTTCATTAGGCTCTGCTTCCTACTGTACTCTTATTCCTACTTTAATCTGAATCTGAATCTTAGCCCCAGAGAGAAATATTGGGCTTTTTACTCAAATGCTTTCACTTGTTGGCTAAGTTCTAGTTGCTTTGCATGTTTAAATTTTGCACACAAAGTACACCAATAATCAGTTACAACACGAGAACCACTGTTGTAATAACGTATCGGTCCCACCTGTGCTGCCAAAACTGTCCTGACTTGTCGAGGCATGGACATCTTGAGGTGTTGGCAATGGATTTTTGCAGTGGAGCTTGTTCCAACAAATACTCGATCGAATTGACATCTAGGAAGTTTGGAATCTAGGTCAATGTCCAGAGCTCTTGGTTGTGTTCCTCGAGCCTTTCCTGAGCTGTTTTCGTGGTTTGGCGGGAGATACAGTCCTGCTAAGGGAGTGATGTCACCATGAGGGGTGTGTTTGAACTGCAGAAATCTCTTTGTTAGTGTTTTCGTGATGACAGACAGGTAGTTCTTTGAAACGGGCTTTAATTGCAGGAGCAGACTTCTCCTTCTCCATTCACCATTCGCCTTACTCCATACACATTTCGCCGTGAGAACTACATCATAAACAGTGCAAAAGAATGCATGGAAAATAACGTAAAACAATGATAAAGAGCATCATACAAACATAAAGTGCATTAACAAAAAAAGCAAAATACATCAATGCACCGCCTGTCACAAAAAGAGGTCGTTCTGTCTAGTTGGAGGCGTCCATTCATTTGCAACACAGCAACATGTCTGGTCTAATCAAAGTGAGTTCACCTGTCTGTGTGCGTGTTATATTGTCATCGTACCAGAACCAAACACACAAACTTGGGTTCCTATGTGGAACCTTGGTTATTTCAACAATATTTCTGACCTAAATTCAATCCTACATAAATCACTTCCACACATTAACTCAACATTACCAATAACAACACTTACACTCCCACCAAAATCACTCATTCCTTTGAATGTGGGATTTCCTTTAAGAAAAATTAAGTTTTAAGTGCAGCAAGTGGGTGGTACCTGTCAAAGAAACATCCACATTAATGCCAGGACTTCAGATTTCTCTGCAGAAGGTTGCATTGTAACGAGGTGATGAATGTTATTCTCATTACCTCTCAGTAGTTTTAATGTCGGGGCTGCTTGGTGTGTATGATGAACAAATACAATATAATTACATTTTCCTTCTACTTAGCAAATAGAAATGAGCCCAAATTGGCTTCACATGAGCCAGAATCATCATTAAAGTACTTTTTATGCGTATTAAGTATATTCTGGTGACAGTACTTTCACTTATGGGAATATTTAAATGCAGAAGTTTCATTTTTAACAGTATTTGTGCAGTATTTAGGCGTTTTTTTGTTGCTTTTTTTTGTTAGAGGATCAGTGTACGTCTTCAGTCACCTGCTGGAAAAGACTTGTTTGATGCTTATTTAAGGAACAGTGGAGACAGTGTTTGTTTAATTCAGTGCACACCAGGTCGCCTGAACGTGCAGAAGTTTAAAAGTATGCAGAAAAACATAAATTGCAATCTATAAAGCGAGCAAAGTTGCAGAAAATACCTGAATTGTTAATAGCTGGGTAAACATGGAGCAGGAACCTACTTTGAAAATGTGCAAAACATCTTTTTGTTAGAATTTTTAAAAAGAAAATTATTCACCAAATGCCATTAAATCAGTTTCCAGTGAGCTGTCCTTCAGCATTCAGCCGTGCCCGTCTCGTTCAAGGCTAAAACCAACTGTGAGGATTACAAACACCGCTTGAGTCCAGCACCGCCGCAGTCCAGTTGTTTGTGTTGTATCAGCTGTCATTTCTTAACACAGTGATCAACTAACAGCGGCGAGCCTCTGTCAGACAGCTCATCTGCCGTGATTTATGACCTGCACGCGCTTCTGCACAAACACACACTTTACACGAGCACGCAATCAGCTGACACGCAGGCAGCAGGAGTGGAGTGGTGACGACTGGAGAGGATGCACTCGATCAGTCCCTGTAGCTCTTGACTGGCAGGCTGACAGCGTTGATGTGGGCAAACCCAAGACAAAGCAGCCTTTATCTATGGCAAAGAAGAAGAAGAAGAAAAAAAAAAACATTGCAGGCATCTCGGGATGAAAGAAAGAATAAGAAAGAGAGGGAGAGGACAAGGAATGATGTTTGCAATTGTGTTCCTATTACAGTGAAAATGCCATTACCGCCCACCCCGTGTCTGTGTGCAGCTCTGTGCCAGCCACATAAAGGCTCTCCGACCGTGTTTAATAATTCGCGAGCACCTCTAAAGGGAAGACAGATGGGCCAACGGTGATGATCACGTAGATGCCACTGTGAACCAGCAGAAAGAAAATAAGAAAATCTGAGCTCTATCTGCAAACTGCAGGAAGTGAAGCTTCCGGGAGAAGGCGGAGGATGTGTCCTCTACACTCTGCCCTTCTCAGCTCACACACAGACGGACAAAGACGCAAGATGAGGTCAATAAAAGATCACCTGTTAACATTTAACAAAGTCCGCCATCCCGCCTTGGACTTTACAATCCAGTGGAGGAGTTTTACTGATCACACATGCTCTTTTTCAGCACTTTTCTCCCCTTCGTTTTTTTTCTTTTTTTTTTTTGTATTGACATTCAGCATTTCATCTCCTTTTCATCGCCCGCGCAGCCAGGTGATCCTTGTTTAGGAAAAGGCATGACAAAGAGAAATATGAAACAAGGATAGATAACCAAACAAAAGACAGTCTCCTGCGGGGTTATGTTTGTGACAACGTTTTCATCTAAATGCAGATTTGAGATAGTGGCAGCATTGGGACCTTCGCTAGTTTACATTCATAACCACAGAGGAAGACAGCGGTGTTGTTGTATTTTTTATTTTTTTTTAATTTTCCCAAGATTTAATGTTGGCTTTTCAAAAGGAGAACTTGCAATTGATTTGATTTGATTGATTTGTGTAAATTGCAGCGGCAGCCAGGAAACAAAGATAAACGTTTGTCCAAATAAAGTGGACAGAACGAGTGAGAGGGGAGGGGAGAATGTGAATGAGACAGTGATTGTAAAGCACCGGTTGGCTCCGTTTGAAGCACTATCTTGCCATTGGCAGCGTAAGTAGCGTAATGTTACCCAAATGGTGCTTATCCAGGTGGAACCTGGCAAGAAACTGGCAGGCAGATTAAACATTATTGATGCCTCTTTGCAGAAGAATAAATTTGCCTGTTTTTGTTCCTAGCAAGCTCTCGGCAAGGTGGCTCAGAAATTGCGGTTTGATTGTCTTCTGGGACAGCGCATTAGTCTGTCGGCGTCTATGTGTTTCGTCGGTTTGCGCTGGAGACGGAGGGGCACGTGCACGAGTGTGCGGTAAACAAAGATGAGTGCCACATCCTCCAGGGGGATAAAGCAAAGAGAGTGACAGCAGGGAGTGGAATCTGATAGCCTCTTCTGAAAGATGTGTTCTTTGAGTGTGTGTGTGTGTGTGTGTGTGTGTGTGTGTGAGAATGTGTCAGTATGTCAGTCTTAACACACCTCCTGCTGAATCACCACAGCACATCTCTACTTTTTCCATCGCATCCTCTTGACTCCTTTTCCACATCAGATCATTCCAATTTCTCCCGTTACATACACCGCCAGCTTTTTCCATTTTTTTTTCTTTTTTGTTTGTTTGTGCATTTTTGCTGCGTTGCGCTCGAGCCAATCGCTCTTGTTTATCTTCTACATCGAGCCTGTTGTTTCCTCCGTTAATGCGAGAGAAGAGTGCATTGATATTGCTTTCAAGCTGAGCAAATTTCAAACCTAAATTCAGTTTTATTTACACCTGCTCTCAGCAGCTTGCAGAGCACATTACTGCGCTGGCAGTGTCGACTACACACTGTATTCAGAGAGGACAGTTTCTGGTCAACAATGTTGTGTAACTCACTGTACTGTAATTGTAACCCTCTGTCTCTTTGGCAGTTTTTATTAACCAAATGAATAATTTATATCTGCTCTGAGTACAATGATGCCACAATACAAAAACAAAGAAGGATTCTTTGCAAATGACCTTGATCGATTAACAGATGCTCTTTGATGAACCTAAAACAACATCCCTTCCACTGAAGCAGGATTAAGGTAATTTGCTCTATTCACCAAGTAAATAAATCAACTTGCAGCCATTGTTGACCTGTTATAAATCCAGTTTTGCCTCAAGTTTTCAACAGATTGTTTTCCACTGAGTGGCATTGGGGAAACACGATGTCAGAACCAACTGAATGTGTCAGAAGTCATATTAGTCTCTCTGAAAAAGCAGAGGCATTCTCAGCATCCATCATGGCAGGAGTCAAGGTTTACAAAGGGGGCAGGTTCGTGGGCATCGGAAACTTTTTGTCGAAACTGAATCAGTTGTATCCAAAGCACGATCAGGCAGACCAAAAATGACCACACCGTCAGAGGATCAATACATCAAGCTTTGCTCACTGAGAAACAAAAGAGCTGCTTCATCACACATACAGGATTCGCTCAATAACGAACATGGCAAGCGACGTTTCTAAACCTCTTCTCGGGAAGGGAAACGAGGCCAAATGCTCGGGGTGGCCAAAGTCCTGCCAGCATTTCACAGTGTATGACTGGGAAAAAGTCCTGTTTGTGGATGAAGCCAAGTTAGAGATCTATGGCAATCATAAAGCATTCTGTGTAAGGAGACACATACAGTGAAACATAGTGGTGAGAATATTGAAGTCAGTGGGTGTTTTGCCTGCTCGGGAGCTGGACACCTGCACTGAATCAACTTCGCCCTGAGCAAAGAGAAGTAGCGCTCTGCACTTCAGAGACCTGCGACGCTCTCTTGTTTGCATCTTTATGGAGATGGATTCATGCTGCAACAGAATAATGAGCCCAGCTCAGAGCTTTGACTTGGAATCCAAAGACAACCAAGGAGTGCTGACAAGCAGGGCTTTCCTCAACAGTCACCTGACCTCAACCCCACTGAACATTTATGAAGGCACTTGAGGACTGAGAAAACCAAGCGTTCCTGACATCAGAGAAAAGAACTCTTGTCAGTTCGTGCTGGGAGAACATGAGTTATCAGGTTTGAACAAAGTTGTAGAGCTCGAGTGCCTTTATATTCATGAGAGCTGCATCGATCTTCTCACAAAGCTCTCCTCTAGAAAGGAAACAAGGGTACCTCCTAGAACTATTCCTTTAACTAAGAACTCAAACTGCGCCTCTAACGTGATTTTTCAAAATAAGTCGTCACAAACAGCCATCTTCCGGATCAGGCTAGCCATTGTTGGTGACCCGCACCGCATCGCTTATTTATTCCTCACCTCCCCTCTTGTCTCTTCTTATCCCTCTGCTTTTGAAAGCCTCATGCATTTTGCTTCACGGGTCACCTCACTCAACGAGCCGAACTCCTCTCGAGTGCGAAACGAGAGGCCGTTTCAGAGCTCAAAATCCCGTTTGATGCTGCCATGCAGAGCGGCATAGATCAGCCGGTGAGGGAGTTTCGACAAGTAGCGCTTGTCTAAGACGATGTCAGTGGGAGAAGCTGAGAAGAGGGTATTAACGTGTGTTTGTGTGTCTGCGGGGAGGGGCAAATGTGATGGGACGGTTGATGTTAAGCTATCGAGGGGGGGGAGGGAAGAGGCACTCAGCCTTTTAGCTTGAGAAGCTGCAACCGCTGCAGGAATGAGCAATGACAGCCATTCACGGGTCTTGTTTTGTGTTTAAAGGCACATTTACCATCCAGTAAGGTGGATACAAAGCTGTGTGTGAGGGGAGGGTGTGCATTTAATGCTCTGTGAACAAAAAGTAAGAGATGAGATGTCTTCACCTGCGAGTATATTTCAAAGCACGTGCACCCCAGTTGGCAAATCATGACAAAACGGGGCAAATGATTAAAAGTTGAATCTGAATCATCAAGTGAATGAATTTTATCAGCATGAGCGAAGGGAAGAAAATCCAATCCTTATGATAAAACAAAGCCCTGTGCAACTTTATACATAGGCAAACGATAAAGCTGAAATGAGATATCCAGATGATAAATAAGAGCGAAAGTGAAAGAACTGAGTTGAAATGCTCATCTGAAAGCCGGCAGGTGGTCCTGCTGCGGGGGAGGCGGAAGGGAAAAGAGAGTGGCAGGAGATGGGAAGAAAAATGACAGAGCAGAGAGAAGGACGGAGAGGTTGAGCGGCTCACACAGCGGTGTGCCTGTGATCGCTGGAAAAACATTGTTCCACCAATCTGCCATTTAATTACAGACAGGACAGGCCGCCCCTGTAGAGTGCAGTGCTTTAACATGCATTCAATCAAATAGGACGGGACCAGGACAAACAGAAAGTGTGCCGTGGAAACTGACACTAATGAAAAGAAATCAATAGGCTCATTTTCTCCACCGTTCTCCACCACGCTGGCTGTTCCACCCACCTTCTCCCATTCTTTTGTTTTTTGCTCTCTTCTTCCCTTTCTTCCCTCATTCTTATCAGCATGATTTTAGATTTCCTCTGCCCGCTTGACGTAGTTCAAACACGGGTTTGCTCTTAGTCAGATTATAATTGGAATTACAGTATCCAGTGGAAGCAAAAAAGTTTTCTAGGTGGACTTTTTCCAGTTTTTCCAGTCATCCAAAACAGATACTTACACACATACAGATACAATACAGACACTAACGTAGAAACTAAATCTGGAAAAAGTGAGTGCACCTGTGATCACTCACACACAACTGAATACACACTGATTTTCAGTTAGTCTAAATGCATGGGCATGGTTATAAAATGGGCCATGAACACCAGAAGTTTAGCCGTTTTGGAGCTATGGGATACATATATCTGCAAGTCTACAGCATGGCTACTTCAGGGCTCCACGTGGAAAAGAATTGCCAGAGGAATTCAAAAAATTTGACAGTGTGACTTCACAAAGATGGAAAAGTATCCAGGAAAATTTGTGAACAACTAGAAATCGGAAAAACACAGTTGCAGCTGTAATCAGGAGCCACCGTACCACTAATCCGAGCTGCAGTGGCCGTCCTCCTAAAATAACACCACAGACAATGCAATGCTAACACCATCCAACTGAAAAATAGATAGGCACGTGCTTCAGACTTCCACAGGGGTTATTAATAGATATTGGAGTTTCTGCAACAGCTCAGATAGTGTGTGGGATGGTGCATAATGTCAGCCTCTATTAGATGCTGTTGAAGAAAAACACCCTTGCTTACGCTTTAGCACTAAACTTCAAGATTAAATTAAGGGATTTGAAAAGAAAATAAATAAATATTGGGAGCACATTTTTTGGTAAGATAATTTAGTTGGGTTCAGATTTGGTTCAACATGTTTGCCATGGAAGTGGACAGGACTTCCACAGTGAATGCATAGCCCCTACAATGAAGGACAGAGGGGGGCATTTGATGATACGGGGCTGCATGAGTGCAAAAAAATGTTGGGCAGGTGACATTTATGGATGGCATAATGATCACAGAATTGCAGAGGAGGAATATTCCAGCATGATAAAGACCCAAAGCACACCGTCAAAGTCAACTTAGAGTTTCTAAGGGGAAATAAAAAGGGAGAGCCATGGCCTGACTTAAATCTAATAGAACTTCTTTGTAGGCATAAAGCAAACTATTCAATAACAATCCTCATTTAATCCCAAAGGGTACATTAATATCTGTACCCAAATTTCATGACAATGCATCAAATAGTTGTTGAGCTTTTTTCATTTGAAACTATAAATGCCTCCTCATGGTGTCACAAGTGGAAAATTCATTTTACAGCACTCGTCAAATAGGTGATGAGATATTTACGTCTGGGCCAAAGTGGTGGACTGACCAAATGCAAAGTACTTATAGGCAACTCTCGTCACTCAGCAGCCATCTTGGCAACACTCCCAGACCATTATTTTGGGCTAACCAGACTGGGTTTCCATCTAAATGGATGAGAAGATGGACATAACTGCAATTTCAATACAAAGGTTGAACTTCTACACATACGCATAAGACCACATTTGCATGAGTGCAATGATACGATTGGCTCAATGTTTCCACACTCTGCTGTTATAAAGCAGAAAGCTGGTGTTTTGGAGGAGGGGCGGGAGATGTTGATGAATTCTCTTCCTTATTCCGATTCAGTTGCCATTGCTACTAACAGCGGGCCTAAAAACTAGTTAGCTGATTGTAAATGCATGCGCTGACGCTGGGCTTTGTGGAAAATTAGATTAGACATAGTGACATGTCTTTGCTGCTGTTCTTAGAAGTGAGAAGAAAGAGAATCGAGACTGATAAGGGAGCCAGAAAAAAAAAAAAGTCAGATGGGGGTTAAGGGTTTACAGGTAAACCTCATTCACACCCTGTGCACACTGGATAAACAGAAGCAGATAGAGCTCAGAGATGATAAGCTGCATTGCTGTTTTGTAAGTTGTTTTCCTCTGCAATGTAAATGAGCCACCTCTGTCTTCTCAGGGAAGGTGACACAGGATTATAATAATAATGTATGATATGTATGATATGGCTCTACGAGGGCAAAATGAGTTTTACACTGGTTGGGAGGAAAGACAACAATGAAAAACGCAGCAGAACATGGCAGGATTTTGCTAAGCAAAAAGGCTGAGACCTTCTCCTATCATCATACTTTTTAATCATCTCCTTTTTCTCTGTCCTCTGTAGTTCTTGATGAAAGTGATATTTGTATCTATACGGGGGAGGTGGTGCTTTAAGCTGTAAAGGGGTGCTTGATATTGATCCCATAATGCATATCCTGGTTTGATGTATGGTTTATGAAAGGACTTTTGATATCTCCCCCCCCCCGTACAATCCAGCTCTGTCTCCCACTGTTCAGGTCGCACAATAATGGTCGGCTGGATCAATGACCAATAATCAGTGAGGCACAATGAGCTTCTGTTTTCCCCCTTTCATTCCACAAGCACGAGGATCGGATGGAACAAAAGAACCTGGAATGAAAGCACGTGTTTTCTTCTAAAAGAAGCAATTAACTAAAACCTTTTCAGTGTAATGAGAAATAACGTTCTGCAGCCTCATTTACAAGATAGCATTGATTGATTTCTCCCCTCCTCCGCTCCGCTCTCCTCAGGTTTAACCAATGCCGACACGGTGGTGAATATGCGGAAGGTGACCCATCAGACCATTAGCGAGGAGCTTTCGAAAACCGTTCTCCTCCCCTGCCTCTTCACCCTCCGCCCCACCACCGGTTCATCCCACGAGCCCCCCAGGATCAAGTGGACCAAGGTTTGGGGCCAGAGAGGCTCCGATGGACTGCAGAAGGAACAGTCGGTCCTGGTGGCCAAAGACAACGTGGTCAAGGTGCGGTGAACTTAGTGGAGGGGACCATTGTTAAATTGATGCTGTTAAAGTTGTAGTATGAATCACTCTGCTGTGTGTTCATCATTCTTATTCCTCCTGCTTTCTCAGGTGAAAAAGGCCTTCCAGGGTCGCGTAACGCTGCCTGGTTACAGTAAAAACCGCTACAACGCCAGTCTTGCTCTGACCGGCCTGCGTTCTAGCGACTCGGGTCTGTACCGCTGTGAGGTCGTGGTGGGCATCAATGACGAGCAGGACACGGTTCCCCTGGAGGTCACAGGTGAAAAAAATACAGATTTTTGTCTCAGCCATTTTGATTATTTTTGAGGTGTGTGTTTACCTTTTTAGTATATCGACAGGAAGAGAAACAGGCAATGTGAAAATAGGGGAATTGCAGTAAACACAGTAAACGGCCTGGGCTGAGTGGGATTCGAACTGGGGACTAACTACTGATAGCATTTCAGGAACCAGCTAAAATTTACCAACCATCAAAGATATTGGAAGCTGAGGCATGACGATGTCAATGTGACTGACTCTAACATGTCAAACACCCATGACACCATAACAGAGAGTGCAAAA